TCAGGTGGAGGAAAATGGCTTTCCATGCAGCCCAAATCGCAGAATGAAGCTCATGGACTTCAAATCTCCATCCTGCAAGAAAAAATCATCCTCCCGCCCCACATCTTTAATCATCTCAACATCTCCTTTCACCTCTACTCGTTATTCCTCTCCATCAGGTGAGGAGTACAAAGACAAGTGTGTCTTGCCTACAGTAAAGCATGGTGGTGGGAGTGTCATGGTCTGGGGCTGCATGAGTGCTGGGGAGCTACAGTTCATTGAGGGAACCATGAATGCCAACATGTACTGTGAGTGACATACTGAAGCAGAGCATGATCCCCTCCCTTCGGAGACTGGGCCGCAGGGCAGTATTCCAACATGATAACGACCCCAAACACACCTCCAAGACGACCACTGCCTTGCTAAAGAAGCTGAAGGTGATGGATTGACCAAGCATGGGCATCCTCAAACGGAAGGTGGAGGAGTGCAAGGTCTCTAACATCCACCAGCTCCGTGATGTCATCATGGAGGAGTGGAAGAGGACTCCAGTGGCAACCTGTGAAGCTCTGGTGAACTCCATGGCCAAGAGGGTTAAGGCAGTGCTGGAAAATAATGGTGGCCACACAAAATATTGACACTTTGAACCCAATTTGGACTTTTTCACTTAGGGGTGTACTCACTTTTGTGGCCAGCGGTTTAGACATTAATGGCTGTGTGTTGAGTTATTTTAAGGGGACAACAAATTTACACTGTTATACAAGCTGTACACTAGGGTTGTGACGGTGAGGAAATTTTCCCACCGATTAATTGACGTGTGACAACACCTGTATCACCGCGGTGGCGGGGCATTCCCTCTTTTCCTCGCTTTTAAAGCTTGTAAAAGCGGTGTGCCCATTTTACTTTCACTTTAAAGTAGCGGCAATTCGGAGTAAAGCAATTGTTAGTTTTTAGTTAGTTTGAATTTTCCCTCTTTTCCTCGCTTTCCTTCGCTTTTAAATAGCTAAAAAGCGCCGTGTGCATTTTACTTTCACTTTTGAATTAGCGGCAGTTCGGCGTCAATTGCTTGAATGCAACAACAAAATACAACGTCAAACTCACTTTAGCGTATATATATAAAACAGAACTTTTATTAACAAAACATAAAAATACACCATGCTATAGGGCAAGCTATGCCTAATATAAAATAACAAATAATTTACATAGTTTAATAGGTATACAAAACTGGAAATAAGTAAACATGTATAATATATAACCAAATAAATAAGAAACGTAGAACGTTATTAGCAAAACGAATGTCAAATAAAATAAATAAATGACAGTTTAAATAAAGTAAAAATCAGCAAACAATGTGGGACCAATTAAGTAAGAATGTTTAAAAAAAAACTTCCAAAATCACCTTAGATAAACGGAAAAAGTCAACCGGCTTTTCAAAATCCAAAATATTGCCAAACAGGCGCTTTTGCATCTAGTTTTTGAAACCAAATCATCCGCGATCGTCTTGTCTGTCAGCTCGGCTCACTCTCCTCACTTGATAAATGAAATCTGATCTGTGTGATGCGACTGTCATTCGGCATGCTGCATTGAGTAGCCGTGTTCAGTTTTTAATTGAAGTGTCTCTTCTTTTACTGAGCTAAATTATTTTTATTACTATAAAAAAATCAAAACGACGTTGGGGGTTGGTGACGCGGTGGGCTAGTGACGTCGTAACCGGTGTTGCGGCTTAACACCGGTATCACCGTCAGCACCGTCTATCGTGGCAAGCCTACTGTACACTCACTACTTTACATTGTAGCAAAGTGTAATTTCTTCAGTGTTGTCACATGAAAAGATATAATAAAATATTTGCAAAAATGTGAGGGGTGTACTCACTTCTGTGAGATACTATATCTCTCTCTCTCGCTCTCTCTCTCTCTCTCTATATATATATATATATATATATATATATCCTAGCTTTATTATGTTTTTCTCCGCTCGCAGAAGCGCTGCATGATGTGATATGATGACCATGTGAATCCTCATGTTCTTCTGTTGTTTGCTGCTTTTTGCCCATGTAAAATTAATCCTCGGGAAACAAATGTTAGTATTTTTTAATGGGTCACTGACACTTATCCTTTCTAATTTAATTCAATTCTAGTTTAAAATAATCTTGTCGGTTAACGGTTAACAATCGGTTAACGAGCGTCGGTTGTCTGTTAGGAAAAATAACAGAAATGAACATCCCTAGAAGGGGTATAAAATAGAATTGGGGTTGGGCCTTAACCTCTTTTTCCGCTGGCAAGTTTCTCACTCAACTGGAGTTTTGACTAGTGCAGTACTAAGAGATGAGCACGATGGAGCTCTCGGTTCAAAGTTGTGCTGTTATTTTCATTGCTAAACAAAAAATTCACCTGCTGCAAAACTGCATAGTTTGCTGACTTAATTGATGTAGTCTGTAATGTGAAAGTGAAAGAGATTGTGGGAAATGCCCACACAGAAGTTACACACAGAACTGATCTACTTGTGGAATTAGGAGTGGTCTGAGAGCACTGACTTTTTTTTTGCATAGACAAATCCTTTTCTGTAATAATTTTGTTCTGTTCTTCCTTTTAGGAATGTATTTTCAGGTCAGAGACTATGTCTTTGGCTGTGAGGAATGTCAAAGGAGTCAGTCTGAAAGATCAGTGGTAAGATTGGCTTTGCAAACGTATTTATCCACATCTCAGTCAGGATTGCTTGTTTGTTTTAAATTTATCTCTTACTTTCGCTTTGTCTCTGTCTCCAGTGTTCTGATGTCGGACTTATCTCCAGGATTGTGCAATCACATAGTCATCAAGTTTTAAGTAAGCTCAATAGCCAACGGGAAGCAGGGCTCTTCTGTGATATCACACTGAAAACTGGTGGTGGCCAGTCTTTCGTCGCCCACAAAGCAGTCCTTTCAGCGGTGAGCGAGTACTTCCAGGAGTTATTTATTGAAATGGACTCAGCCACTGATCCCCAGTCACATGTTGACCTCACAGGTATGGTGCATTATATATTCAAGATAAACCAGTTTCAAAATCAGTGTTTGTTCACACTTGTAAATTTCAAAAGGCCATTATTGAAATTGTTGAGCATATTTCGTGCTCAGGAGAAATACCGTCTTCTTAGCTTTCTTGGCTTGCAGAGGAAATCCCTTGTGCCCGGTCCAGAGGAACTGTCTGGCTGGGGGCAGAAAAAACGGCTTAGGAAGTTAAAAGTCAGCAATTATTCACTCACAGCACGACGTAAACCTCGTGCACAAGACGTCCCATTGAGATTCGGAACCAGTTTAGGAGTGCTTGCCGCCATTAATCCTACTCTATCCCTCTGTGACATGAGCAGAATGGACTTGCTGAACAGACCAGTGAAAGTAGAACCTTGGAACCAAGAAAGGTCCAAAAGGAAAAGACATGATCCTGCAGGGCAAACTGTGCAGCCAATTGCAAGAGCTACACGTAGCAGGTCATTGCTGCAGACAGACTCCAGTGCAAACGATCGACCTCTCAGACGCCACCACAGAAATCAAGATAAAGCACCTTCCCAACCTGCACGAAGAGGTAGAGTACCAGCACACAATGCCTCTTCCCCTTCAAAAAGCACTATGCTCAGGATAAAGCATGAATCTTCGGACAGTGCCATCCTGCAACCTATTCACCGTCGCAATACTGCCTACAACCCACAGGGAACTTCTCCTAAAGCACCAGGACGTAGGGGTCGCCCACCAGCAGATCGCACAGTTAGGGTAGCCACAACAAAGTTGCAGCACACAAAGCGGCACAAACCTGGGCGCCCCCCATTAGACAAACCTAAGAGCTCAAAACAAATAGAAAGCAAAACACAATGCAACCATGCTACAGGAATGCCACAAGCAAATCACAGCAGAACTGAAAGCGGAACACCGGTGAAGGAGAACAGAAAGATTAAGGAACGCGGGAACAGAAAAGACAGTCCTGAAGTTCAGTATGCCATCGTGAACTGGGATACTTCCAACCATCAGCAGCTTCACAGCCATCCCCTTTACAAAACGATAAAGGAAGAACCAGCTGAGCCCTTGCCCCTAACCCAACCATTCCCACCCAGTGACTCCTTGGATCTGGGCAAGCGTCAGAGCAAACCACCCATCAAACTGTTGGATCAAGGCTTCCTATTCGGCTTCTGTCGACCACCAAGTGGCATTAAACGGGAGGAGGAGAGTGTGGACATCTACCTGACTCGGTCGGTCTCTCATGGAAGTAGTTCCAATTGCGATTCATCACCTGGCATGGTGAGAAGAGATCGGGTTAGGGCCAGGATTCTGCCAGACCGGACCGGTCTAAATGGGCCTCACTGGGCTGGACTTGGCAACAGGCACTCACCCTTTTCCCAAAGGACTGCTATTCGAGTAAAGACTGAGAGGGATGAAACAGGAGTGTCCCAAGTGTCAAAGGTTTGCAGAGTCTCTAGACACCCCCAGGTCAGCAAGAGGAGCTGTAAAATTAAGAAGGAACCTACAAAGACAAAGGTATGTTTTTTTTCTCATGCAAGTAGTTGATGTTTATTCTTATGACAAAAGCATGTTACGTAACTGTTTTGTAAATTATTATGCAGTCTGGTTTGGGGAAGTAGTACTCGAATGTCAGTCGTTGAAAATAATTTTAAATTTAAACTAGAAATAAACAGTCATTTATAAAAGGATTTTTTTGTCTTTGTAGAATGTAAATAAGCTGCTTCCTCTGAGCAGTCGCCATTCCGTCCTACTGGAAACCATCCGACGGACACGTCTGAAACAGCAGAAGGGTCCTCGTGGTCAGGCCTCCAGTGGAGCACATGCTTGCCTGCAGTGCAGAGGCTCCTACAGGGACTGTGATGCCCTTATTATGCACCGGATCAGGCACATTGAAGGCAAACACTGGCCCTGCCCGGTATGCATCATGTCTCCTGAGGTCCTGGAGGTGCTCTCTTCCCAACAATGTGACTGTCTGCTGAACAAAGCTTATTGTCAGGGGTGCACATATGTGGTACGCAGGTGCGCATGAACGACTAAAATAAAAAATGCGATGTGTAAATATGTTCAGACCACTCATTTGCGTACTGACATTGTTGACAGTAGGGCTGTCAAAAATGGATGAAAAACTAAATTCAAATTTTGTACTTATATATATTGTCCAAATTCGAATTATATTCAAATTAAAATGCATAATTTCAGTTAGGGTGAAGAAAAGCTTTTGGCTTCTCTTCTGAGGCCACAAGAGGGCGCATCGAGCAAAATATTACTAATGCACGTTATATTCAAAGCCTAAGATAACACAACTATCTGTGAAAAAAGTGCATAATGTTTAAAATAATGTTTATAAACCAAGTATAATTAATTAAGCTGCTTAAACAACTATAAACAAAACAGCATCATGTTTGTATGCATAGTTTAACACACAGGGCGGAAAGCCAATCACACAAAGTAAATTTTTCATTTAAAAACATGAGATGCAGTGGGATGGGGAAAACCCCCACCATAAAGTCTCTGTTTTTTTCAAAGTTAAACTTGCATTAATTTTACATGGCTTTCTAAACATGCGGCTCCTTTGTGCGACATGCGAGTGCAACGTTGATAGATGTCCCTCTAGGAAATGCGCGAAATATGTTCTGTGTAAACAGCTTGGTTTTGATGTAAACAAGATCTTCTCCGCATTGATGTTCTCTTTTTCCGCAATATTTTTAATGAACAACGCAGCAGCGCCGCATCTAGTGGCTTCAACTGGATATGCTAACAAAAACATTATAATGCAACGACACATAGATCGTCATCGCATCTCGTGCGCCACTGATAAGGCTGCCACCTTAACGCACAACTAAAATTAGAATGCAATGTTTTTGCATTCGAATGTGGATTTTTATTTTAAATTCGACGAATATTCGAAATTCGAAAAAAAATGTGACAGCTGTTAATGCAATCACTGTTTTAGATCGACTAACTGTAATACTGTATAAGATCGCCACTCAAACCGAAAGCATAAATCTAGGCTATGCGCGGTGTTAATATTAGCATTGTATTTTTAAGTGTACTATAAACGGGTGCACATAAGTGGGCCGCATGCGCGACCAAAATAATAAATGCGCTGTGTAAATTAGTTCAGAGTGCGCATTTGCGTACCGACATGGTTGACAGCTGTTAATGCACAATTAACATTTTAGATCGACAAACTGTACTGTATAAGATTTCTATCCAAACTGAAGGAGGGTGTGGCATAGCATAAATCTAGGCTACCTGCTAACATTTTTAAAGCACAATACAAAACTGACATTTCATTCACTGACGCTCTACAATCGGCATCGCTAAATCCGAAAGCGCTTATACTTACTTGCCGGCAACCCGCCAAAATAAAAGCTCGCTGATTTTAAGTTTGAAAATGAAAACATTTAAATAATTCAAATTAAAAATAATAATTAAGGTTCAAATCAAAATAATTAATAATAATAAAATATTAGCATTTTATTTTTAAGTTTACTATAAAATAATTGTATTTGTATTTAATACTCATTTTTATTTTAAAATAAATTAGTATTATCACACTTTATTATTTCGTTTATTTTATATTAAAAAAAAAAACTTAAAAGTATTTTGTTTAATTAAAATACAAAATAAATAAATGCAATAATACTATCACTTTTTTATTTTTTTTTTATCGTTATTTAACGAGTCACACTCTGTAGTGTGAATACAAATCAAATTTCCAGGTGCTCTCATGAGAACCAGACCGAAAAACTTATGTGCACCCCTGCTTATCCTTTTTGCAAAAAACAAAAAGTAGCATCAGAGCTGTTGCGCATGTTGAGCATGTTGATAGAGCAGAGTGGGTTTGAATCCGCCTCGCAGAATTAATTTTTATTTTAAAATAAATTAGTATTATCACACTTTATTATTTCGTTTATTTTATATAAAAAAAACAACTTAAAAGTATTTTGTTTAATTAAAATACAAAATAAATAAATGCAATAATACTATTATCACTTTTTTATTTTTTTTTTATTGTTATTTAACGAGTCACACTCTGTAGTGTGAATACAAATCAAATTTCCAGGTGCTCTCATGAGAACCAGACCGAAAAACTTATGTGCACCCCTGCTTATCCTTTTTGCAAAAAACAAAAAGTAGCATCAGAGCTGTTGCGCATGTTGAGCATGTTGATAGAGCAGAGTGGGTTTGAATCCGCCTCGCAGAATTTCTCAAATCCATTTCTCCTTTCTCACTCCATCATTTCAGTCTACTCTCTGCTTTATAAAAGTGACAAAAGACCAAAAAAAAAAAAAGCACAACAGTAAGTTTTCATTTCCCACACCGACTTCTATATCTGGCTTTCATTTTTAATTCTCTCTCTTGCAGTTGTGCAGCAAAACTTTCTTCAGACAGAGAAATGTGAGGAATCACATAAGGACACATAATCCCAAGATCTACAAATGCCGCCAGTGCATTGCTGCTCAGTGAGGTCAGTCTGAAATCCAGAGATGTTCTCAATATTGCTGTAGGTTTTTGAATTTCCATGAGAATTTAAATAGTTGTGTCCTTAATTTCAGGTAAAAAGCCACAATCTTAAATGAAGAGGAGCAAAGCTTTGTTTCTTTAAATATTAATGCTGTAAATACCAAGTATCTGTGATGTATGACAATGAGGTTCAATTTATGTAAATAATGTTATGATGGTTTAAATTGTCTTTTTCCTCACAATAATTGTTGTTATTTAAGTAACTAAGCTATTAAGAAGTTGCTTTGCAATTGCTACAGATGTGTTGAACCAGAACTTGAACCCATGGTGTATTTCTCAGGGGGGCGGAGCCTGATGGTCAAGGTGATATATGTATAATGAGAATTGTGTAGAATGCTTTAAATTTGTTACTACTACAGTTATTACTATTGTTATTATTTTTTATAAATGGCATAGTCTTGAGTGCACTTAATGTTCGCTTTGTTTTGAAACCTAAGAAAGATGCGATGGACTGGGATGTACTTGAATGATTGTTGGAGTGTAGCCAGTGGACTGCCCTAAATGTGTGGTTGTCTGGCAGTGTTTTAGAAAACCATTACAGAAATTAGTCAGGAATTTTAAAATGAAGGTTTGTTAATGGAGTTAAGAGTTATAAAAAAATAAATAAAATGGTTAACCTACATTGGTTAAATACCAATTGTTTGTGAAAACAATTGTTTGACTACAGCTTTTCAAAATGAGACAGTGACTGTGTCTTTTAAGGGAATCCCAAAATGTCTAATGTCCCCTCCTCCTCCTCCTCTGAAAATTCCTTGTCTGGCTTTTTATGCATATCCTTCTTTAACATAAAATGCAATGGACTTGTATGAAGACGTTTTAAATGTTGAGGTGTTTTGTCTGAAAACACAAGTTTGAAATGTAGAACGACCAAATAGCCATATAAATAAATTTTGAATTTTAAAATTTACACTGCTTCGTCTATCTGTGTACTTTGGTATTTTGGCTTGTTACACTAGTGAGTGCACGAAGTAAAAAAATAAACTATAAAATATCGATCACATTTAAAACACTTCAGATTTTTTTTATTGTATCAATTTAATATGCATATCAGTGAATATGTAAGAATTTTCATTTCTGCTTTGATATTACATTTAATAGCACTTAATTTGATGTTAAAATATCAAATATTTTTCAAATGTTTCAGCAAAATCTGTAGCAATTTCAGATGACTGATACTCTGAAATGAAGGCACCTAATAAAGATATTCCACACTAAATCCCATTTGACTAGTTGTGCACAAATGTACACGCATCAATATTTTTGCAGTGAAGTGCTTGCTTAATATTCTGAAAATCTGTAAAAGAACTTGTTTACAGATGTAACAAATGGCTAAATGTTTATCTGCAGTGTACGCCGAGTCATTAAGCAGTTTCCTTAAACAATAGGACAACAAACCTGACAATAAGACTTCTGATATTGCTCTTTTGTTAATATGAACAACTGAATCCATGTAGGAGAGACCTGAGCTCCAGAGGTTTCTAGAGACCAGGTTGGTGCAAAACATCTGCGTTTTCTGGGGCAAGGTTGAGTTGAGAGCTAGTAAGAGGTCAGAGTTTGGGATGGTCATCAACACTGTCACAGAGGGTATGGTAACGTTCATCAGGTAGAGCATAAACCGCCAATGCCTCCTTAAACTCGTGCAGCGGGCAGTAGACATCACTGCAGCCTGGGATTTTTTGGTCCTGTAGGTATAAATAACAGCTTCAAATTTGGGCAGACGTAAGAAAAAGATTAAAGAAATGAAGGACACTTAATAACAAGCAAGAAGTTGTTGCTAATGTTCATTGATGTTTATTTAGGGACCCTAAATAAATATTTAGGGTCATAAAGTTAAACATATAACTTTGTTACCTGGCCGATGTAGGACACTTTAACATAGTGCTGGTTAGTTTGACGATGCTGGTATAGCTCCAGTGTGATGTCAGCTGCATACGGTGGCCATTTCATGTCAAACACCCCCAAAGCCATGAGACATGGCATCAGTGTGGTGTCATGCACAGAGTACAGGAACAACTTTCTATGTTAAGCACAAACAGCAATTGGACTTTTACACACATTATCTTGGAGTCTGGCCACTGTGTGGCAGCACCTCTCAAGTTTTGCAAATGAAATGTACTGTCTGGAAAGCAGGTTGAGAGGTGCACAGTGTGGACACTTCAGTTTAATTTTTAAAAATGGATTGTACAAGCATATTTTAACCAAGCCATTTGAAGAAGTCAGGTTTAAAATGACAAAACAATAGATATGTTGTTCTAAAAGAAGACACCTGTCTGGTTTAGAGGTTGTGCCTTGGATTTTATCCTCTATGTTGTTAAGGAGTATGTGGAAAAGCGGCCCCACGCACAGCTGTAAATTCTGCCTGAGGTCAAACAAAAGCACAAACATCTTTACAGAGGCCTGAAACCATAAGCAGCTATATAAATTCTCTTCTCAAGACTCTTTTGCAGGATTCACTGGCTCCTCACCTCTTACTGGGCTCATAGATGTGGCATATCATATCTACTGCTCTCTGCTCCACAATACTCCTCCAGTTCTCCAGAGCAGTAGGAAGCGGCAGGCCGTGGGACTAGGATCAATAATATAACAGTACTGTATTTGATAAACAAGGCCAACTCGGATATATCTGTAGAATGTATCGAGCACTTTACCTCTCTCGCCACCATGTCATCTCTAATGAGGATGAAGTCAAGATGTTGATGAGGATCGACCCCCAAGGCTCTCTGGATGCTCTGTAGGTCTGCAGCAATGTCAGGAAGCGTGGACGAATCTCCCCAACGGTGACTAAATTTGATGGACAAAAGTCAAACACAGACACATGGCGTTAAACCAATTACAAGCCATTATTGGGCATTTACACTACCATTCAAAAGTATGGGACTGATCTAATGATTTCTGATATTAAAGTATATTATTAGAATATTGTTTAAGCAGGAAAGAATAATGTCAAAACCTCAATTAAAAAAGAAAAACTAGAAAAAGATTATTAAATATTTAGGAACATTTACGAGTTGATAAATCTTCCAATTCTTGAATTTGAATATAATATTTTCCAACTAACTTTCCATTGTGAGCTACATTTCTGTATGAATGGTTCTCTATAAATGTTTGTTATCATTATTATCAAAGTAGCAAGTTTTATCATCAAAGCAGGTTTTACCCAATGAGCCGTTTGAGCAGCTTGCATCCGTGATAGTTGGGATAGAGGATTTCGTTCTCTGCCTTATCGGTGAGGATGGACACAACACCTTAAGAGTGGGAGAAAATCAAACACAGACTGTGTAATGCTCATCTCATCCATTACTCAACCAAATCACACAAAGAAGCGTAGCTGAGCTGCCACCTTACCTGCTTGTTCCTGTTGGAACAGTCCTGCCACCAAACACTTAGCCGACTCAATGGTGCGGACAATGTTGGTAGAGCGAATGCTGTAAATCAATGGCAGAAATTCCATCCTACTCATTTAGATTAATGATGCAATTCAGAGCCATAAACATATTCATGTATATTAGGATAATTTATTAGATTTTTCGGTAACTACAATAAGGTCCAATTAGAGTCTTGAAGAGATACAATTGCTTAATATGAACTCAATTTGTGTCTCAAAGAATAACCAAAGTCTTATGGGTTTGGAATGACATGAGAGTGAGTCAAAACCTCAAGGTGCACAATTTATTAATCTTTGTTAACGTTCAGTTCTAAAAATACAACTGTTGATTGTTAGTTCATGTTAGCTCAGGTCCATTAAATAACATTAACAGATATAACCTTTGATTTTATTAACGTAATTGTAAATGTTGAAATGAACAAACTAAGATTAATAAATGCTTTTTTATTTATTATGAACAATAGATTTAAATAAAGAATCGTCAACAGCACTCACTAAACTTCTTTAGGATTGAAAGGAGGTGTGAGGAAGGGCTCTTCCTGTATGTATTTCTTTCGTAACCTCACTCCAAGATCGTACAGCTGTTGCATGCCCAGTGTGGTCAGCTGACCTGGATAAGTTCCACCCTATGGCAGCAGAAGTCATTCTTTTTCTTAATATGACAGCCTGGCACAATTTTCATTTAAACACAGTTAAGTATGTTTACATCATGTCTGGTATGAAACTGCCATTTACCATCAATCCACTCCATTCCAAACATGCACTCAAAACATGTCTGAAAATGTCACTATACGGCCAAACCTATGTGGACACCCAAACAACATGCCATACAGAGTATGTTTGTTGAGCATTTTCACAGAAAGATTTTCATTATATGTCAGAATATGGTTGCAGGGATTTGCTACCATTCAGACCCAACAGCATCACAGATGTGGGTAATGGGATTTTAGCTGCAATCCCAAAGCGGTTCAATGGGGTTCTGGTCTGAGCTTTGTTGCAGGTCAATCAAGATCTTCTATACCAGACTTAATAAACCTTTTTTCTTTTTTGACCTCGCTTTGTGCACAGGCGCATTGCCAAACTGTTCCCATTAAGTTGAAAGCACACAAATCTCTAGAATGTTAATGTTTGGAGTAACATTAAAGGAATAGTTCACCTAAAAATGAAAATGTACTCACCCTCAGGCCATCCAAGAAGTAGATGAGTTTGTTTCTTCACCTGAAAATTTGGAGAAATTTTGCATAACACTTGCAGCTCACCAAAGGATCCTCAACAGTGAATGGGTGCCATCAAAATTCAAACAGCTGATAAAAACATCACAACAATTTCCAAGTAATCCACATCCACATGACTCCAGTCCATCAATTAATGTCTTGTAAAATGAAAAGCTGCATGTTTGTAAGAAACAAATCCATCATTAAGATGTTTTTAACCTCAAACTTCAGAGGAACTTCATAACTTAACTTCAGAAGTCATCTTGTCTGAATCAGGAGGGAAATATGCATAGTTCAAACACTATTTACAAGCAACAGCATTCCAAAACAGTTCTAAACAAGTATGACAGTGGATTTAGATTTTTTATCAGCTGTTTGGACTCTCATTCTGACGGCACCCATCAACTGCAGAGGATCCATTAGTGAGTATAATTCACTAAATTTCTCCAACTCTGCTCCGATGAAGAAACAAACTTGGACGGCCTGAGGGGGAGTACATTTTTGGGCGAACTATTTCTTTAATATTTGTGTGGACAGGAATCACAAAACTTGCTAATTAGATTGGTTATATGGTCCATTTTAAACCAAATTTGCCTTTCAGTAGGCAAAACACTGGCTGAGCTCTTTCTAACACTGTGTGTAAAATACTCTACATTGTACAAGAATGTGGCACAAATGCATAAACAAACTCACTGTCAGTATTTTGGCTCTGTAGCTGTCCTCCACAGGAGCTGGGGGTCTGGGGCCCCCTTGCAGGTCTGTAACCATATAGTCTATTTCTGTGTGAGCAGGCGCTACAAGTAGCTGAGGGACCCATTGTGCCTAGGGGTGCAGAAACCATGCGTCATACTGGATATAATTGGCATCAACATGTGGACTATTACAGACATATGACAGTGCCACTGTCTGGGAGTATGTTAAAATTGACAAATGACGTTTAAACAATTAAGAATAAATGCCACATTTGTGCATTCTCTAGATTCTTTTGTTTTTCCTCAACCCTTTTTTGTACTACTTTTG